CACAATTGAAATGCATGGGTGTCTGGACTGAAAAGTCCTAACCCACAAAAGAATAAAACTAATCCCAGCTCAAGACATATCACTCTGAAATTTCATAAAACCATGGGCAAAATAGAGAATTTAAAAGTATTTTTTTCTTAAAGAAAAAAATGTAAGGTTTTTGATGGTTTGTTTACAAAGGATCAAAAATCTGAATAGTATTGGATTTTTCCACAGCAATACTAGAAGCTAGGAATATTCTTCAATATTCTGGGGTAGAATGATTTGTAATCTGTACTTGGCCAAACCAAGTCTGAATTGTCAGCATAGAAAAAAGATACTTTAAAATATGTAAGGTGTGTTGGGGGGCCCATAGCTGGTGTATTAAATTAAGAATATGCAGATTATGACCTGCTGAGTGAAGAGGCACAAGCCACCCACACAGCGTCAACAGGTAACTCCCTCAGCATTTGAGCTCCCACTCTGGGAAAGAGAAAACCTGGGGGCCCTTTTGACTGAAGGCACAGTTTATTGTTTTATTGTTTTTAAAAAATTTTTAGAGCGAGTGTGCATGGGTGCTCCCACGTGGGGGGAGGGACAGAGGGAGAAGGAGGGGGAGAATCTTCAGCAGATTCCCTGCTGAGCACAGAGCCCAACTCTAGGGGCTGGATCTCACTACCATGAGATCATGACCTGAGTCAAAACCAAGGGTCCAACACTCAACCTGCTGAGCCACCCAGGTGCCCCTAAAGCTGCAATTTTAACACAAAGAAAGAAAGTAAAACCACAAGATGTATTACTTACAGCTCCCAGAAGGAGGTGCTGAGGGAGGAGGTAGGGAGTGCAATGAGTTGGGGGGAGGGCAGTTCTCTGTCCCAGGTCACAAGGAAACGGAGGAATACTTTTAGATGTTTAGGTTTATCTAGACCAAAACTATGATCCATAAACTCATGATCCAAATTATTATTATTCTAAATAACTTCAGTGTTATCACTCATAACTTTAAAAAACAAATGTTATACTTTAATTTATGACATAAATTTTACCATTTCTCCCCCCAGAAATGATTACATGAAGCGGCATATGATGGAAATGGAAAAAATTTTGCTAGATCAGATGGAAGCTTGTAAGGTAAAATTTTTATCTGAATCAGCTTTGTAGTTTATTTACTCCTAGAAAATCTTTAGGATTAGATAGGACTGGAGGGAAGATACTAGAATGCAGTTTATACTTACGTTTGATTTATGATCGTTTCAATCAAAAGGTGTCAATTCACACTAACTTACAGACCTTGGAGGTTATAAAGTCATTCCTGCAGGAGCCAAGGAGATTCAAGAATTCTTGTCATAGATTGCAAATAAATGGGCACAAATTCTTTCAAGTGCCTCGGTGTAGGTGGAGTCTATTTCTTCATCTCTTGAATCTGGAGCTTGGCATATGACTTGTTTTGGCCAATGGGACATCAGTAAATGACCTGCAAACACTTAAAAAGTGTTTGTGTGCTAAGAATACAAACTAGCCTTTGGAAGATGAGAGATCACTGCAGAGAGAAGCTCAGCCATCTCAACTGCCCCCGGCGAGTCTAACCCCCACCTAACCCACCAACTGACTGTAACTTCAAGAGCAGCAGAATAGTTAAAAGGCACTGAGTTGTGGGGTAAATTGTTGCAAAGAGTAAATGTGAACTCATATAGTTCTGACATCTGTTTTTGTCATGAGCTCTAAATAGTGTATCTTTATATGATCCGTAAAACTATAACATTTTATTATATTATTAAACATATATTTAATAATAAGAAATAAGAAATTTCAACTATGTAACAGTGCTATGACCAGTGGTGAATTGTTTAGTGCCAGTCCCAAGGATACAGGCAACAGACACTGGATCTTTTTTTTTTTTTAAAGATTTTATTTATTTATTTGACAGAGAGAGACACAGTGAGGGAGGGAACACAAGCAGGGAGAGTGGGAGAGGGAGAAGCAGGCTTCCCACAGAGCAGGGAGCCCAGTGCGAGGCTCCATCCCAGGACCTTGGGATTATGACCTGAGCTGAAGGCAGATGCTTAACGACTGAGCCACCCAGGCGGCCTGACACTGGATCTTTCTACTCCATTCATCCAAGCGTGGGGTTACTTTAGAATACTTAATCCAGTTCTCATATCTTTAAAAAAAATAACAGTATTATTGAGATATAATTCATGTACCATAAACTTGACCCTTTTAAAGTGTACAATTCATGAAGGATATTCTATTTTTTTGTGATGTTGTTGGTTTTGTTACCAGGGTGATATTGGCCTCACAAAATGAATTGGGGAGTGTTCCTTCCTCATCTATTTTTTAAAAGAGGATTAATAGATTTGGTATTATTTTTTTTCCTTTAAAATATTTGATATTTTAAGGGAAAATTCACCAGTGAAGACATTTGATCTGGATTTTTCCTTGTGAGATTTGTATTTACTGATTCAAGTTTTTTACCCTGATACGTCTATTCAGATTTTTTACTTTTTTCTTTAGTTTTGGTAATTTGTTCTCTCCAGGAATGCCTCCATTTTCAGCTATTTTTAAAAGTATCAGGATTATGATGTTCATAATATTCCCTTATAATACTTTTCATTTTTGTAAGGTCTATAGTGTTGTCCCTCTTTCTCATTTTGGTAATTTATGTCCTTTTTTTCTTAGTTGGGCTAAAAGTTTATCAATTCGATATTTTCAAAGAGCCAGGTCTTGGGTCCTTTTCTCTCTTTCCTTTTGGTTTAGATTCATTGATTCCTATTTTTATCCTATTTCCTTATTTCTACTAAATTTAGGTTTGATTCACTCCTCTTTTGCTACTTTGAGATAGCTTAGATTATTGTCTTCCTTCTAATGTAAGCACTTACTGCTATTAATTTCCCCCTAAGCACAATTTTGGCTGCTTCCCTTAAATTTGATATATTTTTGTTTCCATCTGTTCCAGACGTTTTCTAATTTTCCTTGTGACTTCTTCTTTGGCCCATGGGTTATTTAGAAATGTGTTCATTTCCAGATATTTGGGGGTTTCTCAGATTTTTGTTTTTGCTAATTTAATTCCACTATAGAAAGAGAACATGTCTTGTATGTTTTCAGTCCTTTAAAATTATAGAGATTTGTTTTGTGGCTTACTGTATGATCTATTCTGGACAATGTTTCATTTGTTTGAAAAGAATGTGTATTCTGCTATTGTTGGAGTTTTCTGCATATGTCAAATATTTCAAGTTGGTTGATACTGTAATGCGGGTCTTCTATACCCATCTTGACTTTCTCTCCTGTTCATTGCTGAGACAGGAATTTGAAACCTCCAACCACAACAGAATTGTCAATTTATCCTTTCAGTTTTTATGATTTTTGTTTTACATGTATTAGAATTTCCTTCCTTTTTAAAGCTAATATTGAACATGCTAATAATTGGTAATTTAAGTGCTCAAAGCACTTAAAGAAGAGCTGTACAAACCTTGGCCTCTAAAACTGAAACCAGAGTCATGCTGTCAGCTCTTGCTTTCTCTCCCTTCCCATCCCACCCTCCCCTCCGGTTTTGGCCTTATTGCTACTGCAGAAAAGACTCTTTATGTTGTGAAGAACATGGCCATCAGCAGTTACCTCAATAAAAAGCCTTTCCCCCCCTCCCTTTTCTGTGTCCACATAGCGATTTCAAGCAAGGGCTCAATAATGCCCAACTCAGGTCAGTGCCTATCCCTTGGCCCAATTAGTGTTGCTAGAAGCAAAGAGTATTATTAACTGGCATTGTGACATGCCCATCTCAGTGGTCAGAGGACACTCTTCTGTTGCCAGCGGGGCAAAGAGAAAGCTTCTCAAGCAGTCAGAAAACAATGGCTACCATAGACCATGTTGGTATCTAATCGTAGGAGGCTCCTCAAAGTCAGGCTTAGGGGGCTGAGTAGAAAACGTGTACAAGGAAGAGACCTATTGTCAGATCTGTCAGTTTATCTGGGAGCAGGACGGATTACGTAGGTTAATCTACATTATACAATGAAGTTCTAGAGTATTGCACGTAGGAATGGAAGTAATTGGGAAGGGCATTTATCCCAAATCATACCTTTCCCCTAATAATCAGCCAACTTTTATAAAACAAGAACACTTCAAAAGACCCGATTTCCAGCCATGCATTAGTAAAATAATTCTTCAAGTTTTGCTTAGGACTCCTGGGGGGAATTTAGTTATTTTCAGCCTTTCCCACGATTCAGTTATTTCTGCAACCTAAACATGCGGCTGGACAGTTCTATTTCAGGTGTTCCTTTGCAATTGTTGAGCCAGAGAGGGCGGTGGAAGAAAGCCCCGCACCCCAGCTCGAACCAGGGGCTGGCCCTTGTCAACACCCATTTTAGGAATTCTCAGCAGGTTTCCGACAGAGTTCTAAGCAAGTTTCTCCTCAGAGGCCCAAGGCGCTTCCTTTAACGAAAACCCACAGCAAGAGTCCCCACCCCAAGCAAAAGATTCCCCACCCAGTCCAGGGCCGGGAAGATGCCCCACCCAGCGGCAGGCTGGGCCGGCCTCCCAGGCTGGTTTAACTGGTTAGGACGACCGAAGCCTGCTGGCACAAAAGATCTGCACTTCGGGAGCTGAGGAGCAGCCGGCTAGAACGTGGAGAGGAAAGCTCTTTCCTTTCTCAAGACCACCACAGGCGATGCCTTCCAACCGTCTTCGCTGACACTCGCTCGGGGTAGGTGTTACATCCCACCCAGTCCCCCAAGACCAGAAACTGCGCAGGCGCCCGCTGAGCACTAGCGCGGCGCATTCTCTCGCGCGCTCCCTCAGTCTCCTCAGCGAGCCTCTGGGCCGAAGGAATCACGGTGCTTCTTGGGTGTTGTAGTGTCCTTCCTCGATGAAGGGCCCTCACGTAAACTGGGCGTTGGGCATCCGAGAACTACGCCTCCCAGCGTGCTGCGCGCGAGGGCACAAGGCGTTTGCCCTTGACGGCTTTAGCCGTCAGCACAGAGAGGAGGACCCGGGAAGCCGGCAGCGGCGGGAGGAGGGAATGCGCGTGCGCGTTGGGCCGGCTCGTCGCGTTCTGTCCCAATCATTGTAAACAGGCGGAGGCTGGGGCGGGGTGGGAATGGGGCGCCTGAGGCCGGCTAGGGGCGCAGCGCAGGAGGCATCTACGGTGGCTGCGGCGGCACCGTGAGCGCGAGGAGGCGGAGGCGGCGGCTGCGGCGGGGGCGGGTTGTCGCGCGGCGGCAGGTACAGGTCAGTGGCGGTCAGCGGTGGCGTGCGGGGGTCGTAGCGGTGCCCCTCGCGTGCCCGGGGAGCCCTCTTCGCACCCACCTCGCAGCGGCGTCTGTCAGGCAGCGTGCGGGGCTGGAGTTGGGGGTGGGGGGCGTGGCTGCCCCGAGTGCGGGTTCATCCCGGGCAGGCTTCTCCCCAGTTCTCGCCGGTTGCCGGCCGTTCCTCCCACTTGCCGGCCGGGCCTCTCTCGTGGCATCCGCATTTGTGATTTGGTGCTCTCGGGGTCCGGAGGAGGAGAGTCGGGAACCGGGCCCCTCCCCACTTGAGTCTCCAGGCCTCAGGGCAGCTCTTGGGCACCGGAATGGAGGAGAGGGGACTCTGTCTTTTATATAATCACTATTTTTTTTTAAATCGCACCCGGAATATTGACCCGTCTCCAGGACTTGCCCAGTGGACTAGGAAAAGGCTCTTGATGTTTCCCACCGCTGGCACGGAAGCAGTGGGGCTCCTTTGGGTGCTGCGGTCTTTCGTTCAGGTTTCAGTGCGAATGGACGAACAGATCTGGAGTTGAGAATTCTTTTTACAACTCATTTTCAAGTGTGCTTGTGCCAAAATGTTCTTATTGAGGTCACCTTTTTTTTCTTTTTTAAAATTTATCGTTATGAGAGTGAAACAGGGATTTTACAAAATACTCTACACGCCAGTCTTAACCTGAAATAATTACGGTGTTTCGAGTTTTGGGATTCATTACTTCAGAGTCTCCCTCTTGACCAAGCAGCTTGTTTCCTCTAAGGCCTAGTAGAGTACTTGAAAATAATTAAAATGTTAACTCGATATATTTTGAATGTGTATTGTAGAAGTACAGTCGTTTGGACGTGCAATTTACCCACCATCTAGCCTCATTAGAAAAGCTTTCACTGAATGTTTTGTAGAGTGGAGTGGGCATGTTCACATGCTGCAGCACTTTCGGTAGCGTTCCATCATACTTGGCAGTTATTCATAAAGTATTTAAGTGGTGATAAGGAGCAAGCTCACTTTTGGTTTGGTGATTATGGAGGCAGCACTTCTAAACGAAAAAAATGGGACTGTGAGTAAGAAAAGTAACCTCACTTGACGCCTTCCTAGTTGTCTTGGTGATTTGATAGTTCCTTTCTGAGTGTTTCTGAAAATGAGTAATTGCTGTAAACTGTACTGGCAGTAGGAGAGGTAGGAAGGAAGTTAGAGTGGTTCCCACTTTTCTCAGTGACCCATAGATTTAAGTGGGGTAGACTAGTTTAACAGTAACCACTGAGAAGTAATTCTTTGAACAAAGTATCTTGAAGCAATATGACATAATTTGCTCTCTCTTCAAAATAGTATCTCTCATTTTAGATCTAATTTAGAAAACGAAGTGTTATCAGAAAATGAATATTAACTTTAATTTGTACACTTGTATTTGTACAGATATTTGCTTGGCCAGGGGAGATTGGGCTTGAACATAACCCAAAAGTGTGTTCTTTCTTTTTTGAAAGAAAATTCCTGATAGAAACTTAAGTTAGTATATGTGGAAGGAATAAGGAAGAATGCAGGTCATTTAGTATAGAGGAGTTACTCTATAGCAGGTACTATGCTAGGTGAAGAGGACTTACAGATGGATTAGGCAGTGACCCTGCTTTCTGGGTGATAAGGCTTTATCTCTTACTTGCACTGTTCTCAAGTACAATATGTTTTTAAGATTACTTTGTAGAGAAAGTTTGGGGGTATAGAGGGTGTACAAAGGAGATAGTGATCAGTTTCCTAAGGGAAGAGAAGGAGAGATTGAGGAAGGTGGCAGTGGCAAGGGAAAAGTATGTATAGGAGGGGATGAAAACAGTAAGGATGGGCATTTAGGTTGAAGGAACAGTGTGAACAGAAGCACAGGAGTCTAAGCCTCCATAATGAGTTGTAGGATCTGCAGGTGTAGCTAGTAGGCAGGGGCCAAATTATCGATAGTCTTACACACAGTTGAAGTAGTTTAAACTTTTATCTTGGAAGCAAATACAAGTCACTGAGACAGGATAAAGAAAACAGAAGCCTAAGCCAGCTCAGCCCATTTTAACTCCCTGCTGTGTGTCACATTAGGTACTTTATGCTTTATGTCCTTAAACTTGAAGGTTTAGGCATGACTGAGGCAGAAAATGAGGGAAACAAGGGGCGCCTGCGTGGCTCGGTTGGTTAAGCACTCAGGTCATGATCCCAGGGTCCTGGGTTCGAGCCCCACATCAGGCTCCCTGCTCAGCAGGAAGTCTGTTTCTCCCTCTCCCTCTGCAGTTCCCCCTGCTTGTGCTCTCTCGCTCTCTGTCAAAGAAATAAATAAAATCTTAAAAAGAAAAAAAGAAAATGAGGGAAACGAACTTAAGGCAGAAGGAATGCTGGATGTGATTAGAGAGAGCATGGAACACTGAAGAGCTGGAAGTTGTTCTCTGCAACTATAACATTGGGTTTATGGTGGTAAGTAGCACATGAGGCACACAGATCGATCCTTGAGTATTGCATGACATTCTAAGGATTCTTGAATTTTTTCCCTATAGGTAATAATAGAGTTTATGAATTTTAATCAGGAAAGAGTCATGATAAGGTTTTCCTCTTAGAAAGATCATTCTGGTATTGTAGAGTGCAGATTTCAGAAGGGATGGAGGGAAGATAAGGCAGGGTGCACAAAGACTGGTTAGGAGTTTTTGTAATAATTGAGATGACAAGACCCTAAACTAAGGTAGAGTCATTGGAGATACAAAGGGATAGGTTAACAGTACAGTACAAACTGTACAAACATTTAGAAGGTAGGATCCATAGGATTCAGTTACAATTGGATTTTAACTTGGGTCATTGAATAGACAATGGTAGAGAACAGTTGACCCTTGAACAATGTGGGGGTTAGGGATGCCGACCCCTCTTGCAGTCTAAAATCCATGTATAACTTTTGACCACCCCCAAAACTTAACTACTCAACTACTGTTGACTGGAAGCCCTACAGATAACATAAAGTCAATTAACACATATTTTGTATGTTATATGTATTATATGTATTCTTACAATAAAGCTAGAGAAAAGAAAATGATACTGAAATCATAAGGAAGAAAAAGTATGTTTACAGTACAGTACTGTATTTATTGAAAAAAGACCACATCTGAGTAGCCCCACACAACTCAAACCCATGTTGTTCAAGGATCAACTCTGTACTGAGACAGAGGAAGAGGAGCAAGCTTGGGGAGTAAAAGTATTTTAGCTTTTGGATATATCGAGTGGGAATTGTCTGTGAACATCCAGGTGGAAACATTAACTACAGAGTTGGGTGTGTGGGTTTGGAGTCGAAGAGAGAGGTCTTGCTATGAGAGTCAGCAGACTATATTATAGGTGGTAGCTGAAACCTTTGATTTACATAATACCATGTAGGAAGAGTTTACCAATGGAGAATAGTTCTGGAAATAGACAATGGAGAACATTTAAAGCCAAATTGAGGAAGAAGACCTGGAAAGGGAAATTCCTGTGTGTTTAGAGATGCAGAGAAATCATGAGAAAATGTCATAGAAGCCAAAATGGAATCATTTCAAAAGGAAGCTATGCTTCACAACCAACTCCAGAAAAAAATAAAAATTTTTTAAAAAGGAAGTGATACTTCAAATGCTTTGAGAAGTTGAATAAGACAAGGATTATTAGGAGTCGGTTGAATTTGATAACTAAGTAAGAGCAAGTTTGTCACATTCTACCTAATGCTACCATTTGGGGAAGGAGCTAATTTCTTTGAATTGAGAAGTTAATGGGAGATCAGAGTGAAGAAAGTAATTGTGGATTAGTTCAAGAATCTTAGCTGTGAACGGAAGAATGGAAAGAGGTGTTAGATGGTAAAAAGGGTTAAGAGAGTGATTTTTAACATGGCAAAGACTTGAACCTGCTTTTTTCTTATGACAGTTTAATTGAAATGTACTTCATATAATGTAAAATTCGTCCTCTTAAAGTGTACAATTCAGTGGTTTTTAGTATATTAACAGAATTGTGCAGCCATCTCCACAGTCAACTCTAGAACATTTTCATTACCTCAAAAAAGAAACCTTTTACTCATTATCAGTCACTCACCATTCCCTCTCTTCCCACCCATTAGCAGCCACTGACATCTGCTGTCTCTGGATTTGCCTCTTCTGGACATTTCATTTAAATGGAGTAACATATATGATCATTTGTGACTGACTTCCTTTACTCAGTATAATGTTTTCAGGGTTTATCCATATTATAGCATATGTCAGGACTTCATGTCTTTTTATTGCTAAATAATCTTCCGTTGCCTGGTTACACCATGTTTTGTTTATCCATTGATCAGTTGGTGACTATTTGAGTTGTTTCTACTTCATGGCTTTTGTGAATAATGCTGATATGAATATTCATGTGTGAGTTTTTGTGTGGATGTATGTTGCTCCTAGGTGTATACCAAGGAATAGATATGGTTACTCTTATCTTGTACATTTTGAGGAACTGCCAAACTGTTTCCCAGAGCAACTGCACCATTTCATTATGCAGTGTAAGGATTCTGATATCTCCACATCTTCACCAACACTTGTTATTTTCTGGCTTTAAAAATTTTAGCTGTTCTAGACATTTTTCCAAAGAAGACATCCAAATGGCCAACAGGCACATGAAAAAGTGCTCAACATCGCTTGGCATCAGGGAAATCCAAATCAAAACCTCAGTGAGATACCACCTCACACCAGTCAGAATGGCTAAAATTAACAAGTCAGGGAACGACAGATGTTGGCGGGGATGTGGGGAAAGGGGAACCCTCCTACACTGTTGGTGGGAATGCAAGCTGGTGCAACCACTCTGGAAAACAGTATGGAGGTTCCTCAAACAGTTGAAATTAGAGCTACCATTCGATCCAGCAATTGCACTACTGGGTATTTACCACAAAGATACAAATGTAGGGACCCGAAGGGGTACGTGCACCCCAATGTTTATAGCAGCAATGTCCACAGTAGCCAAACTGTGGAAAGAGCCAAGATGTCCATCGACAG